CCGGAGGCCCTTGGACTCCTCTGATTCAGCAGCCTCTCAAGCCTTTTGTAAACTGTGAGGGGTCCTTTTGAGAGCCCTGTGAACGTTCTTCTCCCACAGGTGCTTTACTACCATGCTTGCTTCACTGTTCTTGCATAAAAAGGCAAGAGGTCAGTCCTAAACTAAAGTTGCAAGAGTTAGTTTGAGCAAGATTTTCCCTTTTATCTAGAACAAGGCTTCTTAAGACTGGTCTGAAAGGAAACCCTTCTTTTGTACTTTGTACTAGGGATGAGAAGGGCTTACCAACCTTTTTTTTTTCTTTAAATCTGTTAGACTACCTTGGGGTCAGCTAGACTTAAGTCCCAGTCTGAGCCGCAGAAGTCAGTGATTGGGCCTGGGCCTGTGTCTCAGTCCAATCTTTTCATCAGAATTGCTTCTACCTAGTCCCATCCCCTCCCCTTCTCCTGGTTGCCAGGTGTGAAGGATCCAGAGTCCATTCCCAGCAATGATTTTTTTCTTTGTGTGAAATTCTAATGTACACAATTTACTTTGAAGCAACCAAACTACCCTGGCAGATTTCCCCCATAGGTCTGAGATTGCTGCAGATCCAAGAATTGTGAGTTCCTGGTGGGCGGGGGAGAGAACAGGGAAGCAGAGTTGGGAAGAGCTGCAGGAAGCAGAGACCATGTTTGCTTTGTTGGTCTTTCAGGCAGGAAGGGAGTAAAAGCCTGTTAACCAGCAGGGCAGAGGGAGGGCTGAGGTTGTATAGTTCACTTTTGTCTTCTACGCAGGGTATGGAGGAAAGAACAGCCTGTCAAAGGAATTCCATGTAAGGCGTCTCAAACATCCTGCTTTATCTGTCTTAGCAGATCCAAGTGTTCACAATTCTAAGTTCTAAGTGAGGACTACTATTCAGAAACCAGTACTTCATTTGAGGAAATGCACATTCCCTTTTGTATTTAAAGCTGATTTTTATTATTGTTGTTGTTGGTTGTGGGGCTTGAACTCAGGGCCTGGGCACTGTCCCTGAGCCTCTTTGTGCTCAAGGCTAGCTCTCTACCACTTGAGCCACAGTGCCACTTTCAGTTTTTTGTTTTGTGGGTCGGTTGTGGGGCCTGAACTCTGGGCCTGCGTGCTGTCCCTCAGCTCTTCAGCTCAAGGATAGCACCACTTCCAGCCTTTTCTGTTTAGGTGGTGCTGAGGAATCAAACCCAGAGCCTCATGCATGCGAGGCAAGCATTCTACCACTGAGCTACCTTCCCAGCCCCAAGAGTGTCAATTTTTTTTTGCCTGGGGCTGGCCTGGACCATGATTCTCCTACTTAGGACCTCACATGTATGTAGCTGAGATTATCATGATGTCCATCTTGTGTGTTGAGGTGGGATCTCACTAACTTTACCCTTACCCAGGCTAGCCTCAAGCCATGATCTGGGTTTGCAGGTGTGAGCCACTGCATGCTCCAGGTCAGGCTTTGGGTACCTGTCAGTCATTCTAAGGAGCGCTGCCTATTCTTAGTCATTGTATGCCTTACGTACATTCTTGAAATGTTTGTTAGCCCATCCCACAGTTCTCATTTTAGCTTCTCTGACTGGGCTTTCTGTCCCTGCTTTCTCTTCACGCTCGGTGGAGTTGTATTACCTGTTGGCTAATGGACCATGTGGATGGTTGCAGAGCCACAGGGAGGGCGTAGAGTTGCCTGCATCTCTGGCTCTGTGGGAACCTTCTCTCTGTTACTGCCAGTCTCTGAAATAACAGATTTCTTTCACTGTGGATCCAACTACAGGCTTGTGCCACACACACAGTTCTCCACTTTAGGGTTTTTTTTTTTTGGTCCAGTC